GATGATGAGGCACTTCCTAGATATGGATCCCCTCCTCCATCGAAGGCTGAGATTAAGAGGGCTGAGTTAAATCGATGGGGATTTGATGGAGGAGATACGGATTCATCCGAAACAGATCCAACTTGGAGCTTCCGCAAAAAATATCTAGGGGGTGGTTATTATTCTGACCCTGAACGGAGTTACGGAGAAGAAGAGGATGAAGAGGAAGATGGGGAATCGGTGACCTCTGCGGAGATAATGGAGATGTGTGAAGAGGAATTCCTCTTTGCAGAACCTACAGAAGACCCTGCAAAACAGAGTACATTTCCTATACTCTCTTTTACTTATATCTGCGTGGGAGTATATTTTGGCAAACTAATGATGCAAATCCCTGCTTTACACGAATAAGTTGTGTTCATATGTGAGTTGCTAGTGTTGTAATGTCACCCATGTACTGTGTTGGAGACTTACAAAAAATCAATTTTGCATATGATTGGTCTACCTGTGTTCATGTGTTTGTTTGTGATGCCTCTGATAAAGTTTTCCAAAAAATCTGTAAAAAACAGATTTTATAAGGCTTTTTCTTTATAAAACAGATGCCACACTTCTTCTCAACATAAGAAAACAGATGCCACACTTCTTCTTAGCATACGAAAACAGGTGCCACACTGGTTCTTAGCATAAGAAAAACAGATGCTACACTTCTTCTTAGCATAAGAAAACAGATGCTACACTTTTTCTTAGATAATACACCACATACTACACTTCTGTGTCCCAAAAGTTAGTCAACATCAGTTGGTAGTACATATACATCATGTTATGACCAATCTGTAAACCAGATTTTCATACTACACTGATTACATGACATACAAAAATATGTGCAAAAAAGTCATTACATGGGAGTACATTACAGTATTGTACTTTTACCCATGATGTTTGTACATAAAAAAAAGTAAGACTTCAATGACTTGCAAGTCTACATGTGTTCTTCAAGGAATGTTTTTGCTTCCTGATAGACCTCTTGACTTACCCCAACATTATCTGGTAGCCTTCCAAGTCTGGCCAAACTACTTTTCCCCATGTGTGGGATTTTGAAGTTGTTGCCCCCTTTGTGTTTAAGGACCTCCCCCATTACACTTTGACATGTCAAAAAAACATTGTTTAACTTCTCATGGGTGAGGGCTGCGAAGGATGTGGTAACAGCAGTGATGAGGTCTTCTAGTTTCCTAGGTGCTGCCTGGTCTTGAATTGCATCAATTGACCTAAAATATCCCAAATCCAAAACATTAAGGTCTGGGCTATTAGGAGGCTGGAATTGAAGCTTAATGTTCCAGTCACCCTCTTGTGCAGCTTGTACAAACTCCGGGTCATTCACATCCACATGTGGTTTAGCATTATCTTGATGTATGATTACATCTCTTGTTGGACCAGGCCATTTTTCTTTTATTGCTGGAAGTAACTTTTCCAGTAGCATCTTTTTTATTTCATCCCTATTTATAGAGGTGGTTGCCTTAACCTCTAATGTACCTGTTGGCCTGTTTTTGCTAGACTTTTTGGCCTCAGCTTCATATGTGAATGGGAATATACCTATTTTCCCATCCCAGAGGATAGCCCCATCATTCCCAAACCTAGGCCTACCAACAGCTGCTAGGAACATGATTTTTGGTATGTGAGCCTTTGATTGAGCAGTTCTGTATGGTCTGGTTCTTCTGGTAATGCATAAAATGTTGTCTTTTCCTTTGTGATGTTAAACCATTTTTCATCAATATGAATGTAGTCATAGAAATGATGAAATGTGGGATTTATGGGAATTGATGGGGCTGTAATATGATCCAAGCAGTATTTAAGTCTCTTGAGCTTACCTTTTTCACACAGAAAAGGCTTGATGGCATTAGAATGTCTTCTTATGGCCTTGCCCTTTAGCCACCTTTGGACTGTTGATTTTGAAACATCCATTGCATAGGCTAAAGCACGCATGTTCTTCCTTCGGTGAAAGGGTACTGCTAACATTTTTTGCGTGTCAACAGTCACCCTTTTCTTTCCAGAATTCCCAATCCACTTGCACTGAACATCCACAGGTAGACCTCCCCGCATTTGAGTCTTAGCTATACTCCATATCTTTCCAACTGTTTTGGTTGAGATGTTGAATTCTGCAGCAACCTCTTTCATGCAGCCTCGCTGAAGTTTGCCATTTTTACAAAATTGAAGAAGCTTGTCAATGACTCGTTTACGTTTATCATTACGTTTTTCACAACCTTTTTTCCCAAACTACTCGTTTCTTCTTCTGCTACAGGGGTGTCAAGACTGAGGAGGGGAACCTGGACTAAAGGTGGCAGGTTCGTACTGCATGAATTTAAAGAAAAGGAAGAGAATGAAGATGCAGTTGACAAAGACGGTGATGATGGCGGGGAGACCATGGATACGAACAGCACAATGAAGAACAAAAGGGAAATTTATGGGCATGGTGAGAAAAAGGTGAGGAAGAAGCTGAAAAAGGACATCCTTTAAGTGGGTATTAAATGCAGAAAGAAATTCTATTTATAGATTTTGTTTAGAAACTTGATATTGTAATTGGAGGGAAGTTTAAAATTTACCAAAAATTAATTTGGCACAAAAACTTCCCTCCAATTTTGGATTTTGGCATGTAATTGTACCAGTGATAGGGTTGGGAATTATAAATCCCTGCTGCATCCGAACTAAGCCACTGTGTGGCAGTGTACTCTTCCACCTTTTCATTTAATGCAATACTATTCACTTTTTCTCTTTGGGGGCATTTTTGGAAGGTCAAAGGGACAAATACACTCCCTTAAATTTTAGTTTTAGTCAATAAGTCCCGTGTTTTACGGGACGGAGGGAGTATCAGATTTTTAATTGTCATGTATATCCATAATAATTTTTGTTTTCAGTGACTGTAAAATACTTATCTGTCTATTTTTCTTTATTTGAAATAATAACAGTTGTGATATTTTTTTATTTCAAAATAAGTTTATACAATTCAATCTATATTTCTAGTTTACAATTCAAGCAAATGAGAAATTTACTCTCTATGTCCCATTGTTTTCTTTACATTCGTGTTACCATGCTTGATTGATTAATTCATTTTATTCAACTGTTTGTGTTAAAAAAATTAAAAAAATACATATTTAAAATTAAATCAAAAGGCACATTAAGCAACACGACTAATTGACTATATTATTACAGAGTATGATTTTTTTGACAGTCCTAATGACTATATTATTCAATAAGAAGGATAGATGGAAATGTGTACATAAAGAAAAATTAGTTAAGAAGTGGATGAAGTAATTTAGAATAGAGGGTAATATAAAGAGAACAAAAATATTTGGTTTTAATTTTTTACAGGACTGTTTTGAAAAACTAAAATACTCCCTTGGCTATATAAGAAAGTTTCTATTTTGACTTGTGACTGTAGCATGGTCCTACAACCATACCCCCCTTAAGACCTTAGCTGTTGAGAGAGGAGGACAAGCAGCCCTTGGGGGCCAACTAGAATCTCATTGAGGAAGCTGACCATCCCAAACCAGACCACAGGCGTGACATCCACTCCCCCAAGAGGGCGTATCACTTTCCTCGTGGGGCGCAAGAACGGCTCCGTTGGGGCATAGGCTATCACGTAAGGGAACTTCCCGACCGGGAGATTGGGGTACCATGACATCACTATCCTGAAGATGAACATAAGGGAGAACGCCGATAAGAAGGGTCCCACAATGGCTATGGCAAACTTTGCAGTTGCAGGGTCCAAGTCTACAAGAGCAGCGTTTGGCAAGTCCTGCAATTTGAACCCAAGATCGGTGTTGGATTTCATTGCTTCTACAACTCCTACATGAACCGAAGGTTCAAGAAAACAAAAGGTTCTTAACCGGCATGTTTTTCGCCTCTCCTGACAAGAGAAAAGCAGTTGTCTTGAGTTAAGAACACAATGGTTTAAGGATTAAAGCCAACGACAAATAAGCCCAGAATACAAAGAGGTTTGGTTATCTTTTGCCCAGCTTGAAACTGGAGTCAAGGATGCCTATCCTTCTTTAGGGTGTTCATTTGGAACCCAGAAAATGTCAGGGAAACACATACAAAATGACAATGACACACACTATTCTTTCCCCTCTCTCACACTTGCTTCCTTCTTTGTCACTTTTCCAGGTCAACTTGCAATAACGACGAGCAACATGATTACATGAGTATGTTAATTAGGTTGCTTGTTGCAACTTCAACAACTCTGGCATGGAAGTGGCGGGCGACAATGAACCATGACCATTAAGCTGGGTGCAAACCCATTGAAAAGCTAAGGAAGGAGGGTAATGTTGATATATCTATCTCAAGAGCCGCAAATGGCGTCAGCCTAAGACTTCTAGATCTGGTGCAAAGGGTCGGTTTTTTACGCGAGAGTGGTGATATATTTAACCAAATTTTAAGGACGTATGGAGGCTTCCAAATGAAAGTGGTTGGGAGATTGGTGAGACAAGGAGAACGAGAGTATGCTCTTGACAAGCTAATGGGTGAAATGAGTCCCTCCCAATACCAATAATGTAGTGGCATCTGCCCCAAACATCTTCCTAACTTCCAGCATGGGGAGGTATTCAGGCATCTCAAAGCCATAAAAAAGAAGGGGGAAAGACCCCTGATAAGTCTAGCACGGGTGGATCTTTTGCGGCACTGAAAATATGGGCCACCAAGGGCTATCTCATTAGCTAGACTCATCAGCTTGAAGTTCGCGTTCTTTTCCAAGACATTGAGATACTCACCTTCTTTTCATCACATGCTAGTTCACATTGGTACAACTAGAATACTTCAGATGGATATTGACATAAACATATCAGCTTAAAAACCGGCCCTTTGACCGCAACGCAGATGTGGGAGAAGTGAAAGAAAATCAAGCACAAAGCTTGAGGAGGAGCCCTAAAATGCCGTTATTTGCTGCTCTTGAGGTAGATATATCAACATTAAAGAAACCATCAAAAATAAGAATAAAACATAGAGAAAGTGCCAAAATAGGAGTTCTATGTTTTTAATCCCAAGATAAAAGTGTGCAACTGGGACAATGTAGTAGTGTATATTGGCATTTCACAGTGATTTTTGGTATTATATATTGACAGTATTATCATTCTAACTCTCATTTTGAAAATAAAAACATAAAACTCTAATTTTAGTATTTTCTCTATATTTTTCTCATATTATAGTCTTTATCCCTCAACATTAACTTTCGTCCTTAACTTTTCAATGGATTTGTAGAGAATCATTATCAGCTAGACCTTCGATGCACTTGCTTCCTAAAACATCTAAGAAGAAAATGAAGTTTATAGTCCAATTTTTACTCGAAATTAAAAAGAATAAAATTGCCAAGAATGACTATATGATTTTAGCTCCATTAGCTCTGAGGATTCAAAAATGACTCTCCAACACAAATTTTCTTCCAACTAGGAATACAGGTGATCCGATAAATAAACATCGGGAATCAGCGGGGGCGGGGGGCTTACCGGGAATCTCCATGGCCGGTGTCGTGCCGGCGGCCAGGATTGAATGGCGGGGACGGAGAAGGTGGCTGTTCCAGCAAGCATTGGTCGGAGAACAGAAATAACGCAATCCATCAACTGAATCAATGGCGGAGATCGAACGGTTGAATTGAACAACTAGACACCTGGTTATCTAATCCTTCAGAGAAAAGATTTTGTTACTGTATATTTTAGAGAGTAAAGTAGGTAGTAACCATCTCAATTTATACTAAAACATATATCAGGCCCCGTTTGGTACACGAAATTTAAATTATGGAATTGGAATTGAGGATTTCAATTTCAATTCTGGTGTTTGATAGCACAAAAATTATGTGGATTTAGAATTGATAGTGCAAAAAATGAATTGGAATTGACAGAATTCTATTCTATGTAATTGAATCTCATAGAATTTCAATTCTAATTCAATTCCAATTACATCAACTTCGTATACCAAACAGATTCTCAGACTATTTTAAATATTTAGAAATTAAAAACACTATAAAGTAAGAAATGACATGAAAAGAGTATATTACTCCGTATGAAATGATTAGTAAAAATAATTAAGAGATATGAACATAGTTTGGCATTAGGAATAATACTTTCTCCGTCCTAAAATAGTTTATATTTTATGTGAAACAATGCAAATTTTTAAATTTTTAAAATTTATTTTATTTAAAAATTAGTGTGTAAATTAAAAATAAACTTACATATTTAAAAAATACGTAAAAAATTTTCAAAATAAGAAGTGAATGACAAAAATAGTTTTTAAAGAGAGAAGAAAATTGTAAATTCTATTTTGAAATGAATAAAAAAAATACTCGGGGTATCCAGTCTAGATATAAAGAGGAGTGGAACATCCCATTTTGTACGGAATTAATTTCTGGGGAAAACAGAAGAAAAGAAGTTGCGCGCAGGATCACGGAGAGAGCGCGTGAGAGGTGGGCTGTGGACGATGGATTCAACGGACTCCACCAGCCCATCCGCTTCCACCTCCGCCACTGTCGACGGCGTCGCTTCTCCGGTACCCTTCCCCCGATAGCGTTGACTATCATTTTTCTTAAAGCTCACGCAGGAATATAATTCTTGTTGATTTCATACTCTATGTCTTCTTCTTCTTTTCTTTTATAATTTTGTCTTCTGGGATTTAAATTCGTAAATACATCCATATAGTTATGCATCTGTTAATGGATATGGACCCAATTTCGTGTTTTTATGTTGAATTTATATTCCCATACTAATTATCTCAATGTTAAATTTGAATCGACTAATGGTCTGGTACTGGAAGGTCATTTTCCGTGAGAAATCCTTCAATTTCTAAAGCAATTATATCATTAATTACAGAGTGATTTAGATTGGAATCATGGGAACTGGGAAGGAATGATATGCCTGATGATTTTCTCATCTTCAAAAGTCATCTCTTTTTAGGTTAGAAGGGATACCTTTAGAAGTTGAAACATGAGGAAAAAAGCTTTGTGGAAGCAGAATTTCATTACTAACATATTAGTAGCAATAAATTCTTCCTGGAAAGGAGCTTCCATTTGCAAACTTTTATGGTTATGATAATAAAAATTACGAGTAGTAATGTTCTATTTCCAAGGATGATGCCTTTATGTCGAAATGAAGATTACTTCTCCCTATCTTTTCTACTTTTCCCCCAATGATTTACCCATAGGTAACTGTAATAAGTCATGTGATCATAAATGAAGTAGAAGTTTGATTCAGTATTTACATTCAGGAGGAATATTGCATGACATCTATAAGTGAGGATCATGAGAGGCCATGTTGGGGGTGTGGGCTTCGCTTACTTGTTTCCCCATATGCACGGGCTTTCAAGTGTGCTTGGTGTGGAGCTATTACAAATGATGATTTAGTTAAAAGTGATAACAAATGCTTCAAGGCGAAACGCTTGAGAGACCGATTCTTTGTCGTTATTCTCATTACATTCATGGTCTTCATAATATGTAAGTATGCAAATTTTTCTTTTATCTCATCATTTGCTCCAAAAGTCCCTGCCCTATCATTCGGGGGGGGGGGGG